CCCCCCTGCCATGTCTCTAGTGCCTGTCGAGGTGCAGCGCGCCAGGGGCCCCCTCTTCTCAGCCTCCTCCCCTCCAGCATCCCTGTCTCTGAGCAGCTCCTCTCCCTCTGCTTGAGCGGTGGTGGCAAGACTCGGGCAGCTCCCCGGTGTGGCTCTGGTTGGCCTGAGGGGACACAGTGCAAGCCGGGTGACAAGAGAAGGGCGGCAGAAGGCGCCTGCTCGCACCCGTTCCCCTGTGCCCCAGCCCTGCTCCTCGCCATCCCCAGGCAGCACCGCATCGCCCGCAGCCCTGGCACCTCGGGGTGTCCTCCGGAGGAGGCAGGACCCTCCTCCCGGCCTCCTGCTGCTGCTCCCTCGAGGCGGGCGTGATGCTCCGGTGATGTCCAGCTGGGCATCCCTGCTCTACCCTTACCCATGGTGGCCGCCCAGCAGGGTCCGTGTTCCCCTGGTCTGGCTGCCTGAGCAGGTCACGCTCCTGAACTTGTTTTTATTGTAGCTCTGTAGTTTCAGGGCCAAACTGGGCAGAATGTGCAATTTGGCCACGCTGGCCAGGATCTTTGACTCCACTGCCAACTCGACTGCTCACGCCTCCCCTTGGCTCAGGCAGCAGCAGTGTCCAGTGCCCCTCTTGAGGACCCCTTGAGAGAGCAAGACCAGCTTTCACCCCAGTCCCTCACCTGCGGGTGGGCTCCCTACCTTCTGCTTGGGGTCACAGAGGGACCCTGAAGCTCAAAGCCCCATGGCTGGGCGATGTCCTCAGTGCAAGGGGGGGTGAGTGCAGAGAAGGGTCCCCAAGGGGCAGAAGGGATGGGTGCTGGGGGCGTCTGTGCCATGGGGAGGGTGGGAAGGGGGGATGCACAGTGGGATGGTGGGGTTGGGTCTTCAGAGGGGAGCACAGTGAGGAAAGGGCAATGGGTATCAGCAGGGTGGTGGGTATCTGAGGGATGGAGAGGGGATGGGTGTCTATGGGGACCATGGGGGGTGAGGGTGGGTCTGTGGGGAGAAACAAAGGGGGCACTGGGAGTGGGTCCTCACTGGGGTGCCAAGGGGTTGAGAGGCTCTGTGGGGTGCAGCAGGGATGGGTCCCTGGGAAGATGGAGGTGCTGGGAGAGGGGGTGCTGGGGGTTTGTCCCAGGGTGAAGTTGTCAGTGTCACTGGGGGAGGACATAGAAGAGGTGCTGTGGGAAAGAAGCTCATTTGCACAATTATAAGCCAGAAGGATAAAGCCTCTGTGCACGTGGGGGGATGACACTCCCCACGGGCTCCAGTCTAGACAAGCACAGGGAAGAGGAAGGGGGTTGACGCCTCTGCAGAGGGGTTCACTATATCTCACACTGCACTAGGACAAGCCAGAGGTAAAACCAAAGGTGGGAGCCAGGGAGCAGGCGGGCTGCGTGGGAAGGATCTAAGCGACCCCTTTGTAGCTCTTCAGTGTTGGTTCTATTTATACGAGATTTCATTTCCTTGCTTGTGATGCCTTGTTTTTTGTACAGTTTTATGTACATGCAGGTGTAGCTTTTCTAAAGGAGAAATCCTATGGCAGAGTAAAGTACCCAACTATTTTTCAGATGGTGACCTACGTCTAAGGCAATGCCTCTTGCTAAGGTTGTATTGCTCTCAATGTGTGATGCATTTCCCTGTGCGGGGAAGGCTTTGGGCCTTGGGCTTGGTTTTCCCCAGGCGCTGTGAGCACAATTGATTCCCTTGTAATTCTTTCTGTTCAGAGCAGTGAGCATGACACCGTTGTGATCCCCTTTCCGTTCTCTCCTGTTCTGTTTGTTTGCTGAGCTGTCAGATGACCAACTCCATTGTAATTAGCCCTTCCTAAAGCTTTACAATAAAAGTGTTGAAAACCCGGCTGCTTGTGCCCGGTGGATTCTTACCATGTGTCTCATCCTTCAAGGCAGCTTGGGGCATCCTCAGGGAATAAAGCACATGGAGGCAGTGAACAGAGGTGTCTATGGGGCGATACCTGCTCCTGCTGCCTTCCCGCATGTGAAAGGAGCCCTAGTGTGGCCATTCTTGGCTTCCTGCTCCTGTTCTCCAGCTTAAGGATGTTTCTGCCCAGGTATGAGCAGGATAACCCCACAAAGCACTTTGCCACAGACCAGTCTCCTTTATTTAAACCCGAAATGTTTCAGTGTAAACATGCAGAAAGGCTTCCTGCACTTGCGCCTGCCACCAGCTCAAGTGGGGACCAGGGCAAGTCCCACCAACCAGCTCCACACTCCAACCTCCATCACTGCTCCTTGGAGACCTGATGCCATTTCCCATCATTTCACCATCTCCTTCACCAAGCCTGGTTGATATTTTTAAGGTAGTTTAGACCCTTTAGAAAGAGCTGGGCCACTTCAAACGAGGGCATGGTTGTGTCTGCTTCCTACTGCAGCTGCAGGGAGCTCGCTCAGCTGTAGCTGTGTTTTCCTGCTTGCCTTTGCACAGCACTGCGCTAGGCAAGATCAATAACTGCACAAGGTAGTTTCTTAGCTTGGAGTAGAGACAATTCCTCATCACTGGGGTTATATATGGGTGCGATGTGTCTTGGCTGTGGTGGGCTCACGCACAGCATCATGCCTCTCTCCCTGCTGAGCTGCAGGCACTGGCCTTGATGTGGTCTTAGCACCAGGCAAAGGCAAAACTCGTCCCCAGCTTGGAAGACACCAGCATGTGTTCCTGAGAAAGAAGAGTTTCCAAGTGAAGATGTAAACCATTGTCCCCTTGGTGGAGTTCTGTAAACACTCCTTTGCTACAGTCCCCTTCTCAATGGGCTCTCCTGTGCCCCCCGCTCCCAAGGAATCATCCTCATGGGTGAGGGGTTAGGGGGTCTCAGCTGCCCCTCTGTGCCCCTGAGCAGCAGGGATCCTAATTCCAGGGATCTCTGTTTCCAGGGATCCTGGGGAGCCAAGTGGCTTTTTGACCCATCCCAGGGAAAGGATCCAGCTGTTGTGGATGGTGCCAGACTCCCACATCTGGCACAGAGGGGGCACCACACACAGAGCTGTCAGCACCCAGCTGCACCCAGGATAACTGGGATCACCAAAGAGTGTCTTCCTAAGCAGAGGCGCAGTCCCAAGACCTCCCTGTCTATCCTAAACATTCCTGGCCTTGTGCCATGCCCTGTAGCTGTTCTTCATGCTCCCTCCTCTCCCCCAGTCAGCCCAGTTCAGACCCCCTGTGCCCCAGTTTGTGCCTCCTTCTGCTCCTCTGCTCTACCCTTCTCTACCCCATCAGCATGTCCCATCTCACCCACTCCCTCAGCTCCTCTGTTCCCTCCTTGCCTCTCCTCCCCTGCTCCCCTCTTTACCCCACCACAATGCAGC